TTACGTTGCATGTAATAATATGAATTTAAGATTTCTACTTTAAAAGAGTATTGAGATATGGAATTATATTATTTAAGGCGTGACCGTTCAGTATCAGCAGACGCGCGGGCGTATGACGGGTCGGACTTGTCAAACGCGGGTGCGTATGCTCTAAAGCACCGGCCGTCGACCTGCCGTAGAAAACCATCAGAAATACATGCAGGCGAATTTGAAAAATTGGAACACGCGTAGAAACATCTCCAGGCCAGCAGAGAAAAACGAAGCAGCGCGTGGTCGTGTACGTACGGCACTCCGGGTGGTAGGCCCGCCTGCACGTCACTCTCCAAGGCTCCAGCTCGCTCGTGCGTGCGGGGTGTCGCGGTCGGGTCGCGGACCAACCGTTCCGTACGAGCCGGACTACGGACGGGTGCGAGCGAGGCCGGTGCGGCGTCCGGTCACGGCACGCGCCCGCGCGGGCCGGGTGACGGGTGACGGCAGCGGCCCACCTCAGCCTCAGCTGAGCGAGCGGATCGCACCGGTCGGTCGGGGTCGGGTCCGGGGCCTGCGAGGCCAACCGCCTCGGGTGGTTGGCGGGTTAAAGGCGCGCGCAGGAGGTGGGCACGACGGTGGGGGGGTCCGGCGCACCGGCTTTTTGTCCCCCGTACCCGCCGGGTACACAGATCGGTACCCGCGCGTACCTCGCTCCCCCACCCTCGCCTCCAGCTCCACTCCCGCCCCTTCAATCAAATTGGTTTTCCGCGCTATCACATGAAACATGTGGTAAGCAATCCAAATAATTCAAAAAAAAAATTTAATTTCCCCACGCTAATTTGGCTACTTTGAGGTTCGAAATTCAAGAACAGTGGCAATTTGATGGAACACGGTTATATTTCACTAACTCGCGATAAAGTGATAAAACCTCGCATTTATCTTCAAAACAAACGAGTTCCCCGCACTAGTTTGTTTTCAACCTTGAACTGGTAGAGCCCGTGAAAATTAGACATTTTATCTTCGGGGAAAACTTCCCAAAATATGACAATACGAAAAATATCAAAAATAACAAAAATTACATTTAGATTCATAGACCACCTACAAACAACTATAACTATTGGAGAAAACCAAAAGCGCATCGCCGTCATCTCCCCTTCCTTACCGTTAGCGAGCTTTTAGAGAACCAGTTAGCTATAAATGTGTTTTAGATTCTAACCAACTAAAACTTTGTTTGGCTTATCTAACTAATTCTTGGATAAGGAAAATTTGGTTCTCGTAATACCCAAAATTTGCGTTTTTAGAAAAACGGCTCTGAGACGTTTTTGCGCAAACGCGTTTTAGAAAAACCAGCTCAAAGCTCAGCGTGTGGCATCGAGTTGCATGAATAATGTCTTCCGCCATGACAAACCATGACGGGCGGCGACAATCACGACGTGTACGACTCGATGGATGGAGGCCTGACCTGCCACAACCACGACCGTCGGTGCTGGCGGCCGGCGGCCGGATGGATCGCCGGCGACTGCGCCGTGTACGGCTACACTGACGGCGACCTCCTGGTCCTCGCTGACGGCGCAACGCTGCCCATGTCCTTCAAAAAACTGGAGCGTCACGTCTCGGCGCTCGTTATTTAGCCCCAGCGTGGCCTCCGCCGTGTGTTTGACTGCAATGCATAGTTGCGTATGCACGACACCACGACGACAGAGTACTACTGCGACACCGACGTGCAGCAGCCCGAGGGAGCGGTTGCGCGGGACCGACGACCTCCTTGCCGGGAGAAACGCCCTGCCACGGTGACGGTGGCATAGCCGCACGCGGAGTCCGTTTGGCCAGATGGAACGTGAGCAGCGGCCAGGGTAGATTCTATGCCGAGGGCGATGACCAGACAGAATCGTTGTGGCCGGAGGGTACACGGTCAGTAACGACGGAGGAGTCCTAGATCGGAGTTTGAAGGTTCGTCAATGGTGGCCGAGCGGTCAAATTAGAAAGAGGTCACGCGTGAGCTTATGATAAACTAGTTACTATCCAAACAAAGAACTATACAGCCGTGATTTATTACTTTCCTAACCCAAACATAATTTTGCATAAACTCATAATCGATAAAATATATTCTAAAACGGGTTTTGCTAAGAATCAGCTAAAAACTGATTTTCTATATACTCGGGGCCAACGCTCCATATCCAAACAACCCCGCAGCAAGACCAACCTTACCATAGTAGACATCCAAGAAGTTATCGTACTAAGGCTCCATGGGACGAGCGCATGATCGGAAGTATCAAATTTATAGAAACACGAACGTAGAGCGGATCCACATATAGATCCATCAAAGACAAACATCGATCAAATTCCGCGAGATCTGCCGAAGACACACATCCACACGCCTTCTGCTCACAGTTGTTGCATCGCCGGTATCGGGGCTAGGCTAAGGAGAAACTTATTCCATCTTCATGGAGCCGCTGCCACCT